AAAAATTCAATTTTTTGGAATTTTAGTGTTTCTTGGTCGAAAATGAGCTACCCGAACTATCCATACCATCAGGTACTATTTTATAACATATTTTTGTGGATTTATTTTCCACGCCTCGAAAAATCTAACATCAAATTGTTTGCAAGACTCAGGAAATATGTGTTATTGATGTAATACATACAGATTGGAATTGGTTTTGGTCATGATGTCCCAACATTTTTTGCCCTATTTGTTGACAAATGCCACTGCTCTAACAAGTATAAAATTAAAGTTTTCTCTTTTTAACTCTTCATTTATCTCAGGTTATTTGAAAACTCACTATTGAATTTCTCACTAACCAGGCACATCCTAATTTTTGCTTAACCTCAATTTCTATTTCTCATTTCTGCCCATTAAATTTAATATTTAACGCAACAAACACCAAAAACTTATGGTTTCCATGTTGATAGTGTTTAATAATCTCCCTAAGATCTTTTTCCTAGATGAAATTGACATCTACCATTACAAATTTCATTATTTTTAGTATCCCTCCCCCCTATTTACCTACAAAATATTTAGTTGACATTTGTCAGGAGGTCATCTTCATTGCATGTATGAACTTAATGTTCAGTAAGTAGTCTCATAATTCAGCATTCAACTTTTGAAAAAAATGATAAGAAAGAAAACTTGTAGGTAGTGAACTATCATACATCACTAAATAATATAGCAGGAAATAATTGACACCCAGATTAATTCAGGTACTATTAATTACCACCAAATGCATAATAATGCAGGTATTTATTTGACTCAAATATTCATTGAGTTTTTGCCTGCATTTACAGACAAAAATTGTCCCGGCAAAAAGCTTAAATAATTCCATCTTTAAAAGTTTTGGCATCAAAACCTAGTAGTTTCTGCTCTAATTTATGTTTGATTCTCTCCCCCTCCCCCTCCCATATTAGTGTAGTTAATTTTCAAAATTTAAATCGAATTTCTCAGACAAATTTGAACCTAAGAGTGCACAGAATCCAGCAGGTGCACACCTAAGTTTCCAAAGTGGGGTTATCATTCCATACACCAGGGTGGGTCACATCAGGGGAGGATGGGTGGGGGGGGGGCAATTGCCCTTGTTTCTTCTGAATTTTTAAAGGTAACCTTACTTTGGGATCAGTTTTAGTCAGTTTTAATCAATTTTTCAAGGCATTCTTTGAACAAGCCTCCCTCCCCCTCCCCCAGCAAATTTTTCCTCCTTCCTTGCCTTCTTAAGATTTGGCTGAAATGATACTCCTGGCCATATTATCAAAGCCTCCTTGCTTTCATATATTCTAAAAAATCTAAGCTAAGTACATCAAAATTATTTTTGCCTTCATAACGGTATCTTGCAGGCACATACTGAATACAATGTAGCATAAAAGTAGGCAAAAACTTGAAGAAAAGTCAGATTTAAATCTGTAAGTATGGCTGAGTTTCCTTTTGACTTTTGAAGGAAATTCGTCCATAATATTTTACTGTTTACAAAAATTGGGATTTTTTTCTTTTCCCCGCCTTTGGTTAGTGCAGGAATGTTGAATCTGTCCAAGGAGCTCTGTTTATAATTAGACTCATCTTGTATGATCCCTTAGTTCTTCCACTTGACTGAAACAATCTTCTATGGCTTCACTACCTCTTGACAATGACTTGTTGGTTTTCTTTTGTATGAATATTCCCAAGGAGCCCAATTTAGAAATCAGAGGTGACAAGCAAAAAAATTGTCCCAAGGCCACTAATTTTTTTTTAAAATTATTGTATACAAGTTTTTCTGGAGCTATTCTTCAAGCTAATGGTCTTTGAACAATACTTAAAATTATGGCAACAATTTTTAACAAGTCTCTGCAGCAAACATACTGAAGTTTGGAATCCAGATGTTTATTTTTGAAATTCCATTGAAACATGAATTTTAAAGTATATGAATACCTACAGAAAATCAAGTTGCCCTGTAGGTGGCAAAACATTAATTGGTGCTCATTTCTTCTGAATCCTATGTGTAGCTCAAGTAAATCCGTTGTCTGTTCTTTCAGGAACTTTTTTTCTAATTATTGGGGAGGGGGATGAAGATAAAGAGTAAAGGGAAAGGAAGGTTAGCAAGTTTATATAATGACATTTTTAGTTTCATACAGGGACCCACATAAGCCATCTGCCCTCTAGGAAACTTTGAAAGTTACATTATATGAAACTGGTGCATTTGTTTGAAACAAGAGGTAAATTCACTCTCTGACAAGTAATTGCTTACCAATGACTTGCACTCTAAACGTTAAAATCGTCCAATTAAAGCTAAATGACCGACAAGTCGTTATTTTCTCTGAATGTAGGGATCATTGATGCCAATATCAGTTATGAAATGAGTGTGGCTTTTTATTTTGTTTCCTCTCCTAATAAATTTCTACGGAAGAACCTCAAAATTTGTCTAATGGTAGATTTTCTTGAGGAGGATTTAGGTGACATTCTGAACACACAGTTGATCCTAAGCTAAACATTAAATTTTTGTAATCAAGTTTTTTTGAATCTTTCCACTCGTTTTTGATTGTTAAAGGGTTCCTCAGGTCAGTCTCAGAATTATATGCCTCCGGAACATGCAACTATTGGTCTAAGTTACCCCATGTATGGGTCAGCTGCACCCCAAGGATATCCATCTACAAACAATCCTCATCCCTATCCTCCTAATCCGTCTAATCCTGCTCCCTATCCAACCTCAGGAACACACAGTCAACCCCCATACCCCACCTCTGCACAGTACCCATCCACCCCCGCTCAATGCCCAGCAAGCTCTTATCCTACCAACCCATCTCCCTACCCCTCCAACCCATCTCCCTACCCCTCTAACCCATCTTCCTATCCCTCTAACCCATCTCCCTACCCTTCTAACTCGTCTCCTTACCCTACGAATCAGTTTTCACACCAGTCAAACCCTGCAGCTTATCCCCCCTCTAATCCAGGGTATCCCTCGCAGAATCAATACGCCCCTTCTGGTCATTCCTTGAGCCAATACTGTCCGGCTACAGTCCCGTACCCCTCCAATAATTCGTCACAACCTCCTAATCGCCCCTATCCAACTCAAAGCACTGGTGCAGCTTATCAACCTCATGGTCAATTGATGAAGGTGAGAAGCCCCTCTCAGAAACATACCTTTTTTGTGAATTAATCTTATCTTAATTTCTTTAGCCATGCCTGACCTCTTTCAATGATAATTAAAAGTCTATCTGCGATAGGAATTTCATGCAAATGGTCATCTTTTGCATTACCTAGACAATTAATTCTCAATCTATATTGCATTTATGATAACAGAATAGAGGCAGATTACGTTAAATTTTAAACGTAACAGCTAGAATCCGAAAGAAATTCCAGTCTAAAGTATGTTTCGGCAAGTTGGTAGGATTACTACTCAGTTTTGTATAGTCTTAAGTAGTACCTCTGTCTGGAGCATTTGTTTATTTTGAACAGGCATAAGATAGATAGCAAAATCTTTGCACTTGTGCTATAGGGACCTAAAGAATGGATCAGGGGGGTAGGACAAAGTATCTATACACGGAGATGTTGCTCTCCTGAAGCAAAATTTAGAAGGCAAAAAAAATCTTTTTCGAGTATCCAGCTCCAGTGGGATTTTTCTTGTCAACAAAAGCGGTTGAATTCTTCTCTCTGAAAAGTAAGAATTAAGGCGTGATCAATTTTGGAAAAGGAAAAAACCTTGAGTTTTGTCTCTCCATCAACACAAAAATAATACATTCTCATTAATTGAATAAATTGTATGAAAAAATGCCTAGTGTCACAAAAAGAACTGATTGTGGCATCCATTCATGGTTGATTCAACGTAATGAATAACAGCATAATTCATAATTTCCTCATTTATGAGTGCTAACACCAAAAATACTACCTTCATCACTGACTGGTTGATAGCTGTTGCTGTAGACAATACTGGTTTTGATTCTTAGAGTTTCTTCTGTCTTACTAAGAAGAGTTCACATCGTGTGCAACTTTTCTCATGACAAAATGAAACAATAAAAAGTGTCGACTTCTTGCTGATTGTTGTGGAAACAACTAAACCTGCGAAAATAATTTCATCTGTGTATCCTAAAAAAACCTAACAAGTTACCTAATTTATAAAACCCCTCGCACCCTTACACTTATAAAAATTATTCCTTATCGAAACAATATTGGCTAGGAACTTATTCCATTTTCATAACTTGTGCACTCTTCTTCAATGAAGTCATTCACAAAATTCTTTTATGTTCTTTCTGCTAATATTCGGCAAGATATCACTGAATTAAATACTGCAGATAATCCAGACCTGCTTTTCTAATTTCATATGTTCTTCATTTTCATCACAGAACCCACTAATAATTTTTTCTTCATCATAAATTTAATCCTTCATTGAAATTGAGTATCAGATAAAACTGTTGGAGTTGAATTCCTCAGTTTTAAAGGCTGATCATAAATTATGTCCTGCAAAAATTTATATTTTCGGACGGACCATATTATGGAACAGTGGCTCCACTGTCCCCTTTCAGTTTTATCATAGAGAGAGGTCATACTGTGATGGTGCTCAAATCGATTTTTGGAACTCTTTCTTTAATTATCATTTTAAATTGGAATACTTCATGGTTGCATTTATATTTTAATTTTGATCATCTCTGTTTTTTATCTATTTTTTTAATCTTTAATACGTGGTTGGTTTTCAGTTTGGCTCACATTAATTTAACATTTTTTAATTGGGGAACCAACAAACCTAAAATTTTATGTACCTGGAAGAATAGCCTTATTTGATTGACTATTTCTAAGTGTCTCTTCTATCTGCAGTACTGGATTCAGTTGAAGGATTTCGTCAGGCCTTGCGAAAGATTTTTATCACTCAAGTAGGCACACCCAATTTTAGGCAATGGAGGATAAAGAGAGCAAAAATATGGTAGAAGCTGAAATATTGATGATAGTGATTGACTGTAAAAACCGTCTGCCCACGATACTCATTGTCATCTCTTCGATGTTTTCAGAGTGGGACACCCACCGTCCGTCCAGCTGTGCCTTTTGATCCCCGAGCAGATGCTGAAGTTTTAAGAAAAGCAATGAAAGGAATTGGCACTGATGAAAAGGCCATCATCAGAGTTTTAACCAATAGGACCAATGCACAACGACAAGAAATAGCCGTTCATTTCAAATCATTGTATGGCAAAGTAAGTACGAAGCTCCTGCTTGGTATTTATAATAGGTTTGCTGCTAATACTCGCTCATCTCAAGTAAATTTTCTCATCGGAGTTCAAAACCACACCTATGTAGTATCGAAGTAAGAAGGCAAAAAATTACATCAAAATAGCAGCACTGAAAAGTAAATTGTTTTCAGTCATAAGCTTGTTAATGATCTCCGTCATAAGCATGTTAATGATGACAATAAAAGCACTTTGTGATCTCACTTACACTGTACGTTTGAAATGGGGTTGCATTTCACAGCTTCGTTTTCAGGATTTTTCATCATCTTGGAGGATGATGAATAAGAAGTTTGGAAAAATATTCCGTTTTCATATTGCCTATGTAAATGAGAATGCAAAAAGATTTTATTTTTGCAAAAAATAGTACCAATTTAAGTTAGCCACTAATTAATTGATGCAAATAACTAGGAACAAACGGTACATATTACATATTGTTTTTCTCAATATCTTGGAAGCATCCGGTAGTAGAAACATTTGTATTAACTTATAACCTGCAATTTATTTCATCGATACCCTGCAAGTAACTGTACGAATTTTGCTGCTTAGCTCAAAATGACGGTTGACTTGTGATGTCACACTTCTTTTCACTCCTAGCTCCTAAAAATTATAAATTTTGAGATTTTAAAATAAGTAAGTTTTTTCAGCAGTTATAAATAATAAGAATTTTGCATTTAAACTATTTGGATTACTTGGATAAATGTTCAATAACGTTTTTATTTTTGTGTATCTCTCCTAATTTCTTTCATTCAGAACTAAGAATTTTATCATTGTTTTTAGGATTTGTTAGCTGATCTGAAAAGCGAGACAAGTGGAAAATTTGAGGACATACTGAAAGCTCTCATGACTCCTCTCCCTGAATTTCTGGCCAAAGAACTGCATTATGCCATGGAAGGAATTGGCACAAATGAGGAGACCATAATTGAAATAGTTTGCACTGCAAGCAACGCTGAAATCTACGCCATCAAGCAAGCATACGAGAAAAGTAAGTTAGCCAAACTAATATTCATGCTCTATCTTATTGCGGTATCATTGGCTCAGATCTATAAAGGCCTATTAAAGCTATTTGACCTCAACTATTATTTTTTAGGTTGATAAATGGATCATTATGAGGGAATGGAGAAATGTCACTTGTGGGAAGGTGGGAATTCCTAAGTGTTGGTAATAAAATCAGGGTGAAGTCGCCTTAATCTTTAACCCATGGGTGCTTAATCTTTTGGAAAAGACTGTTTTTTGGCAATCAATCAGCCAAACTCTCTGGGATATCTGCTACCCTTATTTTAGCATCATCCCTTTTCCGCTTAAGAGCGATAAAGAGCGATTAAAAGCTTCCATCTGAAACGTTTGGGGCTCAAAATTACTCATTGGAAGAAAATCTAAGTTACCCTCGTTTTTGGGACAAAATAACCTAAACTCTTGGGTGTATATCTTGAAATACCTTGTCAGGAACTTAAGCACCTTCTTGACAAAATTTACTCTCCTAATTTATGCTCTTGTTGGAGTCCACAAAGAATAAGTTTATGCATTTGTAAAGTGAGATAGGAGATCCGTCATCTTGATTCTTTTATATACGTTCAATGTAAAACTGAAGACAGTTAATATTCGGTCACACCCTGAAAGAGCATGAACTTATTTGTTTGAGCTGCACTACTTTAAGAAATATGTGTGTCTGAATATCATGTATCTAATTAATTGTTTTGTTTGTAATTTCCTCTCAGAATATGGCAAACCTCTGGAAAGTGACCTAAGAGGAGAAACATCAGGATCCTTCCGCAGATTACTCACATCTCTGTGCCAGGTATAATTTTTTTTTTTTTACCAGGTCTATTAATATTCCGTCTCTTCTTCTTTATGTGACAAAGCACCCTATGTTGCCCTTTGATAGTTATAAACAGACAATGCAGTCCTACCTATCATGTTGATCTTTCAATTTATAGCTAGCAAACTCAGCCAGAAATACATAATGCCTTTTAGAAATTCTCAACTAAATAAAACATTTCCTTTGATCATCTAATCAATTTTAAATTTCTTCCTTATAATTAGCATTTTTAGTTCTGATTACAAAAGAAAATCCCTGCAGATGTATTGATCTCTCATGATAGATTTTTCTTACTACGAATTTATTTACGAAAGGGCCCAATTGCCAAAAACTTATGAGCCTTGAAAGTCATCAAGGAAACAAGGCGTATGAGTTTTTAGCGCCTGGGTCCTTTCATGAATGAAGGATCCAATTCAGAATTGGTCATATATCTGGTCATATGTACTGTTATCAAGTATCCATCATATTGATAATTGATTAAGCATAAAAATTTCCAGAAGGAAAGAAATTCGATCTTTGCTACTAGGATTTTTGATATTTTGTGAGCTTTACCCCACATAACCCAGGAATGGTTTTTTAATTTAAGTTTTCATAATGTGCTGTATGAACTGTCATCTGTTCCATTTTTTTAACTACAAATCATTTAATAATCAATTTTTTTTTCCCACATTAGGGGAACAGGAATGAAAACATGATGATTGACAACCAAGCTGCTTTTCATGATGCGCAAAGTCTGCTACGTGCTGGTATGTATACCATTTATTTTTTGGTTGTTAGGGAAGTTCAAATTTCCATAAAAAAAAGTTTCTTCAGCCACTAAAATTCTGATAGTTCCAGCTAAATTTTTTTTTAAATTAACTATATTTGCAAAAATGTCTTTGTCCTCTCTTTTTGAAATCCCCTCTTATCTCAAATTCTTCGGTCTCTAAAACCCTCCATTATTTCCTGTCCTCTTTTAAATTATCCACTTTTCTGTGATATTTTGTAATCTTTAAGCATTCCCCGAACGCCTCTCTCTTATTTGAAATCTTTTCTCATGGCCTGTCCATTTTTAAGTTGACCAGTGGGTTGTGCCGGTGAGAAGTTTCTACTTGTATCAGAGGAATCAGGGAAATTTCAGGGAATTTCATTTTCTAAATTCTTTGGCAACCCTGTTGTCAGGAGTTAAAGGCAATTGGTTAAGATGGAAGAATAGCATTTATCAATAGCATCTTGGAACAGACTATGATTTGTTGTTCAAAGGAAAGAATTGGCCTAATGTAAGAAAGCTTTCACATCTCTATATCCTGTCTCTTGAATTGAAGAGAAGTGCTAACCTGGACACCATTTTCCAAATTAAATGAAAATAAACATTTGTAATGAAGTATATGTTTCATCAGGGTGTCTGCTGGTCCCTAAAAGTCTCTAATGTCCATGATTTTGGAAGGGTGTCCCTGATATCTCTGAAAGTCCCAAATTTTCTTGTTCAGGTCCCCAAACAATGACAAAAATCGTCCCAAATACTGGCATTTTCAAATTTTCCCGCCAGCCGTGGCGGAGCGGCATAACCAGGAATAAAAAAACTGAAGTGATGCTTGGTTTTTTGTATGTTTTCATCGGTTTTACATGACTTATAAAATTAGTCGTATAAAATATGGCTTTTAATGCTCTAACTAGCTCCCTTTCTCTTACTATTTCGGGGGAAAAAAGTCACCGATTTTCTTGAAAAAACACCCCTAAAAGTCCCCGAAAGTCCCCAATTTTGGTTTTTTTAAGCTGGTAGACACCCTGTTCATACATCTCAAACTCCGTTGATCAGCCAATATACAGTGTTATTTCATTCTATTTTGTCCATTTAGGTGAATTACAACTGGGCACTGATGAATCAACATTCAACGCTATCCTTTGTTCCCGTAGCTATCCTCAGCTCCATCAGATATTCGCTGAATATCATCGTCTGACCGGCCATGATATCGATAAAGCCATCAAAAACGAGTTCAGTGGAGATATCGAAAATGGTCTCCTAGCCATTGGTAAGCCGTCATCTTCAATGTTATATTTTAATCAGGGTGATAGGGACATGGTCCTTTTGTCATTCAGTAAAGCCCAGATCATCCGACCACCGATTATTGGATGTTCAGCCATTCAAGGCAGTCATGATTGAGTCTTCGGTCAAAATTTAGACAGCCGGCAAGATGCAGACTGGTTTTTTGGACAAGAATTGTAGATATGTGGTTTTTTTATTATTTTTTTCCAATTAAATGACTACGTTTTACAAATATTATGCAGAACTGGCGAAGCTTGTACATATTTTTTGGTCACAACTAGACCCTGAAATGGCACTTTTCAGTCTTATTTGGTGTTTTCAATTATCCAACTTTTTCAGCATCCGAAGCAGCCCTTGCCTCAAATTCTTAGATGATCAGATGATCAGAGCATTACCGTACCTGTTTTGGATTGCTACAGAACTCTTTTTATTGAAAGTCTCTGAAGCTAAAGACTTGTTCTGTCTTTTCACTAAGATTGTGAAGAAAAGCCGGGAAAGGGAAATTAATTATATCTCATCTCCCTGTAATTTATTAAGTTTAGAGAATTTACACTTCAATTCAAAATCATTTTATATTTTTCTGCTATTTAGACTTACCCTTTTGTTGCTTGTTACAGTGAAGAGTGTCCGAGATAAGTATGGGTTCTTTGCAGAGAGATTGCATGACTGCATGGCCGGAGCTGGCACTCGTGATAGAGCCCTCATTCGCATTGTTGTCTTCCGAAGTGAGATTGACTTGTATGACATAAAGAACGCGTTCCAGAGTCGCTACAATAAAACCCTTGAAGCAGCCATTGAGGTAAGTAAACCGGAAGAGTGTAATTCCTTTTCGCAATTGCTCTTTTTATTTATTTCAGAGTGAATGAGGTGAGCTTGTCGAGCAATTTTTACTTCTTGCATTTTTGAAAAGTAGAGAGGATGTATTTAATACCCACGAATTCCCCCAGATTTATTTTAAAGGATATTAAGTCAAGCAAAAGTAGTTTAAAGTTGCGTCCTTTAAGCTTTCATCTAAATGCGCTCACTGGAAACTCCATGATGCCATCTCAAAATACCTACCACTCCTGGTGTGTGTATACTTTCAAATGTATATTCTCTCTGCTGTGATTTATAATTTGTAAAACTGTTATCAATGCATGGCTGCAAGGATTATGGATCACGGTGGAGCGAACAAGTGGTTGAAAGTGTACCAACGTTGGGAAGGATATTTTTGGATGCCATCTTGGCTTTCTTGGCAACGTTCATAATGAAAACATGCAACTTTGAACCACAGCAGTAAGGAGTTAATTTAGTTTTGAAGAGACAACTTAGGCCCAGCCTCTTGAACAAGCGGTTTGAAACTGCTTAGCTGCACTGCTTTTCTTGAATTACCTGTTGACTTCTAGCATCATAGTACATATTTTAAATCAGTGAAAATACTGATTGTCAGGAATGGTGAGAATCAAAATTTGCTTCACTGTAATTCATTTGTCAGGATATAATAAAAATGGTTCTAGGACACAATATTATTTTATTTCCTGCCTAGCTCACTAAAAATTAGAGTTGATTATATTGCTACCTTGTGTGCTCATATTGTTTTTTTCTATCTGCTTTCAGTCTGAAACTTCTGGAGATTATAAAAGATGTCTTCTGTCATTGGTTTCACCTTAACTAGCTCTGCCTCTGCATACCACCCTGGCAAGTGTTCACTATTTTTAAAATAGTAATCCTTGTCTTCTACCAAAAGGTCCTTTTTAAAATTCAGGAAAATTGACTCAACCACTAAACTCATTTTTTGTCTTCAAATTTATCTTAGAAAGCTGTGCTTAAAATGGCTTCACCATCATTTTCTTGAGAACTATTGTTGTTATATTTAGTTACTATTTAAAAAAAAAAAAAAAAAAAAAAAAAAAACTGAAAAAAAAATATTTTAAAAGTGAAAAAAAGTGTCTTTAAATGTTATCTGTTGTGTTGTCATTTTAAATTATTATATTATCAATCTGATAACTTATTTTTCCATCCATTTTTTTTATTATTGTTAAATTTATATTTTAATACTTTTAAACGAAAATAAATAATGTTGTAAGAACTGATTGTAGTGCAGATTTTCATTTTCTTTTTTTTTTTCTCAGGAAGTTTATTTCTGGTCGGGCATGTCAATTTTTAGAACTTTGCAGAAACACGCTGTACTGCTTGTTATTTTTAAAGATTAAAGTATACCTATTTTATAAGTGGATCCATTAATAAATAAAATACCTGATCGGTAGGCATTTATAATTAAAGTTGTTATTGGTAATAGACGTATTTAAAGCTGAAGTTCCTCAAATTTTCTGCATTTCATGTTCTGAATGTCACATGAAAAGGTGATTCTTCTTTGAAATATCACATCATGCAAAAACTCTGCCAGTGCTTAATCATCTTAACAGTGTTTTCTTCCATTCAACAACTCAATCTTCAGGAATTAATTTATCAAGAAGAAATCTATGATTAAATTTAGCCAGACTTTGAGAGAGCCCTAATATGGTCCTCAGAGTTATCCACACAACGCAGTAACAAAATCATTCAATCCCATCAATTTTAATTCTTTCACATGTATTAAAAATGTATTCTGTAAATGCCATATAATGCTCATCTGAAAATACAATTAATAAAAATTTTGTCGCTACAATATTTACATTAATTATCACTGCAAGAAAAGTAACTTGGTCCTTCTATTGTTATGGCAGTGATTTTTTTTAAAAAATTATTATATATTAAAATCATTTTTTAAAATTGAGTGTCCATCATGGAGGTCATGGAAAGTTTTTGTGAGATCGTCTGTTGTAAAAGGTATGACTCATAATCAATAAATTCTCATTTTGACATGAAGAATCTCTCCCTAAATTGTTTGACACCTCTCTGGGGGTGCCTTTCATATTCGACCTTTGATGTTCAAATCTTCTGTCAAGACGCGCAAAAAAACATCAGTATAAAATAATTTTCGATCCAAAACTCAGAATATATTTTTTGTCTCAGTATTTCGCCTCTCCTACATGTAGTTTTTTGTCTCAAGACTCTAAATTTACAACTGTCTTATTCTGTGATACCCAAATGAGAACTAAATTTACATAGCTTTCACATTTTATTTTTGAGATTGCGTTAATTTTTTAAGAAGTGAAGCACAACATAATCCCTGTCAAGGAATGTAGTAGATCGAAATCGACCAACTTAGTTCTGGCTGGTTCCTGTTGCCTATTCTCAAGTTGTTTTCATTGAAGCTGATTTATTCAAAGGTATTTTATTTGTATGATCAGCTGAATTATTATGGTCTTTTGAATATATATTTATTAGAAAGATATATACAAATTTCCTCTTATTTTTTTACGGTATCTTATTTTTTGGTCACTGACAGTTTATTTATAAGTGTTAGCACCCACGGCTCAGGGAGACTTCAATAATTTATCTCATACTATTTTCTTGAAATTGTAATGTTGTAAACCTGTGTCAAATCTGAATTAAATGTTGATACTCTCCCAATTATGTCTATTTTATGTATACTTTTCTCCAAATTGTCGACATGTCTCCTGATTTCATATCCTTAAAAAAAAGATAGAAAATAGAAGTAATCCAAGCACAGGGTTGATGGCGGTCTGGAAAATGAAGAAAATCAGGGATTTGTGACGACCGGAAAAAGTCAGAGAATCCATGGGAAAAGCCAGGAAATTCCTGATACATCTACTAATCACTGAAACATACTACTACTCACTAAATCTACTAATCGCTAAAACATATCACTGATCTTCCAGCCGTTTCCCTTTCTAGTCTTTTTAAGGCTTGTCATTTTATAAGCAGCTACTGAATGCCCTTTTTCATAATTTGATGTGGAATCAAGGAAATTTTATCCAAAGTTTAGTAAAAATCAGCGTACTCAACAATAATTTAAAAAAATCGAAAATTTCAGAAAGTTATGGAGCCAGGAAAAAGCGAAAATAGTCGGGTAAAAGCAAAAATGGTTAGGGAGTAGTCAGGGAATTTTAAGATTTTCAGTCCTAGGAGGGGGCCCAGCCCCCCTGGCCCCATGGCTGCGCTATTGGCGGTGTATCTTAATTTTTGGGACGACATGGTGGCAATTATTTTTTACATCTTGCTCTTGCTGATACCTCGTTGAGTCTGTGATAGGGGTGCAGAAAGATCTTCAGCCTACGCAGTTTCAAGCAACTGTACCTTGCACCAAAAAATAGCGCGTTCGCACTTTCGCAGGAAATTTCTAAAAAATTTCACGCTTTTGCAGTAATTTTTTAAAAATTCAATACCTAAGCAGTAATTTTCTTAAGGAATGCAACTCTTTCACACTACCCAAGTAGCATTTTTCAAGGGAAAAATCGCGATTTGTTGCGATTTTATCGATTTTCCTCGAACTCTATCGATCTCTTTCTATCGATTATCCTCGAACTTGTTGCAATAAAATCGCGATTTTATCGCCCGGCGAGTTATCGCGACAAAAATCGCGATACATGGCGATTTAATCTCGATTTTATCCTTTATCGACGAAAATTGATCGCGATTTTATTGAACAAAAAATTGCGATGCATAGCGATTTAATCGCCATAAATCGCAATTTTTTATTCGATAATCTTGCGATAAATTGCCACCCATATAATCGCGATAATCAACCGATGAAATCGCTATTTATCGCTATCACTGAGTTCTGTAAAAAGCAGTGCATTCGCACTAATTTTCACAAGATATCATTATCCTTCTCATGTTAAAATCAGTGCGATGAGCGTCCACCAATTAGAATATAACCGACTTTTTGATTCGTGTAACCGACCGCTCGATTCAAGTGACTGACTGAACTTCTTTTATCAGTTTTTTTAATTACATTAGCTCGGTTACGCGAACTGAAAGTTGCGTTTGACGAACTGAAGAATTGATATGATATAGAATATCTTTTTGTCCTTTCAATTTTTGGATACAAATTTTGTCTTCTTAGCAGTCAAAACATTTGTATCAAGTGTCCCGTCCCATTCATCTTTTCACTCCTGCGATAAAGTCTTCGTCAGCCGAAAAGAGATTCTCCTTCGTTTTTTGGGTACGCAATTTTACCTATTTGGATGTGTAACTCGTTTCGCCCATTCAACTTTTCTACTCTTGCGTTGAAGTCTCTGTGTTAGCCGAGAAAAGATTCTCCTTCATTTTGTGGATACGCAATTTTACCTACCTGGATGTTTCACCCCATTCAACTTTACTACTCTACTGTGGTACTCTTGCGAAAAGAGATTCTCCTTCATTTTGTGGATATCTGGAGACTTGATCGGAGGCTTGAGTGGAGAATTGAACGGAGACTTGATCGGAGACTTGATCGGAGACTTGATCGAAAATGTACTTTGTGAGAGGTTTTATCAGTAAAACTTTATCCTAAATAGAAAGCAGGGCCGGATTTACCTACTTGTCGCCCATGGGCCGCCTGTATTTTGCCACCCCCTTCTCATTCGTTTTGAAACATCAATAAAAACCATCAAGTGAACGTGCCGCGTAAAGGGAGGAGTGCATAAGACGAGTTTACTCGTGTTGGACACATTTTTTGCGAAAGCCCTGTCAACACTACTAGCAAAATTTCACGGAACTTTGCGCGAAAGTTAAGTTCCGTAAACTTGTCTCTGTGTGGAAACGGCTTTCCATAATTCATAAGAAACGGACGAAAAAATTATGAAAGAACAAACATAAACGCGGTTTAATAATTGGACCTAGTTTAACAGAAAGGAACCAAGCCAAATCAGCTATTGCCATGTTTAACTGGGTAATTACATTTTTAACAAGAGAACGTTTGTTCGGATTTCTTTGGAAATTTTAAGGAATTAGCTTCGTATCTACCATGGAGAATTTTCACTGAAATTTGCACGAAATTACGCACAACCGTGTTCATGTAAAAAATTAAATTGCCGAATTAAATTTGGCAATAGCTGATGTGGCTTGGTTCCTTTCTGTTTAACGCGGTCCAATTTTAACTTCCGCCGCAGCGCCGCCGCCGCTGCACTGTGTTCGGCGCAATGCGTGAAGTATTCCTACGGTCTTGTAGGCGCTATGCGTTTCACGCCGACCGGTCGGTGCTGAGCGCAGTGAACGCACTGTATTTGACGCAATGCGTGAAGTATTCATGCAGTCTTGTAGGCGTCAATATGTGTTACATGCCGACCTCCGGCCGCGCCGCACCGAGGGCTTCTCCTTTTCATCTCAAGTCCTCGTCATCATCGCTCTCTGCGCCGCGCTGTGCCGTTCCAGGCCAAATTGCGTGTTTGTATCACCGAAAGACGACAGAATTAGAAATTATTATACGAGTACTATATTACTTTATACCACGTTTATTTTGAAGACGTGCTGGCGAGACCCCCATGTTTTTTTTGTTGGTTTTTTCTTTGTATTTTTGGCAGAGCCACGCTATTTTCTTGTGTTTTGATTCGGTATTGATATCGAGTGATCTGTATTTTTAACACATTGACTCTGTATTTTCAAAATTCGAGTTATTTGTATTGTCGGCATACTGAGTAAAGGTAATCTGTAAGAGTAAAAAATTGATTTTGATATTTAATACGATTACACTTAAAATAAGCACCAGAGAATCAAAATGGTTATGTGCGCTTATCACAAAAATTGTTGTGTACCGAGCACGCACATGCGTTTTTTAATCTTGCGCCAATTTAGATCGACAGAGCAGCTCACAGATGAGAAAAGTAAGTAACCATGGTGCATCAAATGTTTTATCAATCAACCACCCTACTGCTGGCGGTACTTCTACCCTCCTTTGATGCTGAGTAAAACTCAGAAATTAGAGCGGTTCGTGAATTCGATGAATTCATTTAATTCTTGGTGAGTTTCTCCAGCCCGTCAATCGTTTTTTGTGTGTAAATTTTCGATTTTTAAGTGACTATCTTTGCAAAGCTAATTATCGGTTTTCTTCTTTTCGTTTTGCACTACCATCTTTGAAATTATGAAAAATTTGGTTCATTGAGCATTAGCCATTAGCAAATGATTTGAGCTTAACCTTCTATTTATCCTGTTTATCAATGTGGCAAAATAAATTAAGCTCAGCAACAAAGCGTTGCTAAACGAAAGGATAAAAAAAAAACCTTCGTACAAATCGCATTCAACTCTGTGCGAAGCATAGTACCGTCTATCAAGGTACGCTGCTATCACTTTCTCATGCTCTCTGACTATCCGTAGTAGACGTTCAAATGATTTGCTCAAGTATAATGCATGGCGATCTTTTGATTTTACTGACACCTGGTTTTTCTCCCTAATTCTATGAGTTGAGGCACAGTAAGCCTCGCCACCTCTCGTTTTGCGTAATTGCGTATGCATGCAAGGACACATTTGCAAATAACGGAAATGGGTCAGTGAGCTCGACGAACCTTATCACTCCGTCCGTCGAATACTTACTGTGAAAGTATGTCCGGGAATATTTTTCCTCACCAGGGTCATAAATTTACCAAATAGGGGTCCATGCAACAAAATTGCCTCCCTTCTCCCTCAACGTAAATTTTTAAATTTTTTTTGAAATTTTCCCCTTTTTTGCGTAAGCTTCAAGTCAAGACCACCGGAGGGTCTTTCACCTCATAATAGGTGCCAAGAATATGCCTGAAATTGCGTCGAGAAGGGTTAAAATTTCACATCTTATAGGAGGAAGTCCCATAACATCCCCCCTCCCTCTTTACTGGGTATTTCACCAAACCCTCCTCCCCTCAGAGGAGTGAGCTTTAATGGGGCCAGCACCACAGTACATTACAGAAATGGGCCAAAAAATCCTGAGTCCGATCTTCTTCCTCGCCATCAATTAACACTCCGTCTTTATTCAATATTCCAGATTCGCGAACCGTTCATAAACAAACAGTAGTAAAAAATGCGAATGCACTCGCTTAAAGACTGGTACAAAGAAAACCTAGAGCAGTTTGAGAATGCTGAGAGGGAGCAAAAACATGCAAGTAAAATACTGGCGAAGAGCGATCGCATTACAGAGGAGGCTCAGCATGTGGTTAGCAGAAATCTCGAGACGACGGACCATCAATTCGACGTCAAACTCAACGACATAGAATATCTAAGAGAACTCCTCGAGACCACGAAACGAAGTTCTGATGAAGAAGTCGAAGCCTTGAAAGCATATCGGGATCGCGTTCACGATGCTTCTTCCAATCTGGAAGAAAACGCACTGAAACTGTGTCGCAAATGTATCAGTCTCAGGTAAGTACGAGAATTTACCTGAATTTTTTCCTCTCACAATTAGATACATCTAGGAGTTATTCGGGGGCATTCTCCGTAGTTTTTTAAGCAGATTCTTTCCTGATCGAGGGAAGCCTAAAATGGAATCATAGAGGCCTCTAAGATCCTTGGTAAAAATTGGCGATAGGAGCTGCGTTTCAAAATACCATAGGAGTTCCTATAGCCGACTAAAGAAGGCTATCGAAAATCATATAGCTGGCTGTAGAAAGCGGAGCAAATCATATAGCCGGGCTATACGAAGCTATAAAAAAGTATAAAGTCGGGCTATAGTTCCTATCGCCGGGCTTTACACTTTATCGCCATTGGCTATCAAGGGCTATAATAAATTGTGTAGAAATTCGTGTGCTTTGAAAATCATTAAGTTTGATACGGAACTACCTTAATATTTACAAAAACACATATTATATTTTCCTTTCAAACATATGTTTTTTTTTTCATCAATTAAAATGAGAATAGTCCATACAGAGTGTGCAAACATTTCAAAATCATGAGTTGAAAAACGCTGACTCCGCAAGATTAAATATATTAGAGCCTAACACAAAGCGGAGCGGCGACGCACTGGCGCCTACAAACCTAACAGGGATACTTCACGCATTGCGCAATGCGTGAAGTATCCCTGTTAGGTTTGTAGGCGCTAATAATGCGCGTTTTGCGCTCTCTGCCCGCCCGCCGCGCTGCAGCGTGCCACAGCGTCTGAAGCAACTATTTCACATCAGAGGTATTGCACAGTATCATACGAAATTGAAGGCGCTCCAATATATTAAGAATGACAGGCATCCTTCAAAAGTACGGAACATTCCTCGCAAAATAAATCAAGATACTATGGCACAAAAAGAGAGCAGTGGTCCAAAAACTAACTAAGTCCTAGTATCCGTGTTTAGTAAAGTTTAGCATAAACTGTGCATGGGCGTAGCTAGGGGGGGCCTGGGGGGGCCTGCCCCCCCCCC